TTTCAGGTATTCGTCCAGTTTTTGGGTGTATTGCTGCACAAAAGTCATCGTCGAGGAGGTCAGGGTTAGGTGGTGTGGTCAGGGATCTGGAAATATAAGTTCATATATTTAGTGAAACATTTATTTATTTAGTTTAACTACTATAATACATACTACCAAATAGTGTACATAATTATCATAAGTTATAACTTAATATGCTACATAGTGTACATTGTAGTGTTATTGTAAATAGTATAAATCTAATTATTAGAATATATATTAGGCTGTCATAATACTGTAAAACACTATTGTACCAGTACACTATGCAACATATTGTAGGTAATTATTTGCCGGTAAAATATCCAGGTACACTAAATAGTAGTACAATATAAATTCACTAGAAATTTTTATGTAACAAAAGTAATCACTAATTATTACATACACAAAACACAAATCAAGTATTAAATTAGATTATATTATATTATAATCGCAACAAAAGACAATTAAATCAAAAACACAAAAACTTAAGACCAAAATCGATGTCAACGTAAATATTATTATTAATAGCCTTTAAGTGGAGACACAATAGTGAGTGCGATATAAAAAACTAGTAATGAAAAGTCTATTACACTCTCTCTGTCTGGATATCTAATCACTTCGAGATAAATGACATGTGATATGCAGGCAGAGGGCACAGGGATGGGGAATGGGAGACAGAATTATCACATATTCTTATGGGGAGAATGAGATGTATTTTGGAGACCAGGGAAAGGGAGGCAAATGTGTTGTTGATTAGATAAGTATTTATAAAAATTACACTCGTTATATGTACCTATTAAATACAATATTTTTAATTAAAATATGATTTCACATTTAAAAGGGGTAAATGAGTTAACAAAATGCAGAATACATTAAAAATCAATTATGAATAGCAAATATTTTTGCTAACTTTTAAAACTTTTGTTAATAACTGCAAGTTATCGAGTGTTGATTGAATACAATTACTCAGCAATAATTATTTATTGAAATTTGCAATATATATAGATATTAATAGCAATCGGGTATTAAATTCAAATATTAATATCTATGAGTGATTTTGTTGCATTTAATATCCAAACATTGCACTAAAAGTATTGAATAGACTAAAGGTTTTAGGCACAATCAAAATAGATATAAATATTATACCGGTGATTTGTTTGATACTGTATGTATGTAATTTAATATTTCAATTAAACTAACCAAAAGTTTTACTGAAAAACACAACTTTCCTATGAACACAAAATAAATACAACTTTTCTTTGTTTGACAGAAAATACATGAAAATCACATGAAATTTGAGGAAAAAATTATTATTATTTTCAATTAGAGATACTTTTACCTCCAATTCCTGACTGATATCGCGAGAGACTGTATATTAGTGTGTGAGAGAGTGCTGGAAGGGAGGGGAGTGACAGCTATTTAAAGGGGAATTTAATAGTTAATTGAATAGCACGGCAAACAGGTATACAAAAAAATATCTTGATATCAAATACGTACAGAGTATATACAAACTTTTAGGCAACATATAGACTAATTCATGGGATAAATGAAACACTGATTTGATGGATACTTCATAATAACGAGTGAACACTAATCAAACTAAGCAATGGATTCGTGTCCAGACATAAAGGTTAGGGGAAATGCTAGACTTTCACGTCATTAACACATAACACGCATACAATCAATGTCTCCCTTATTTATCCTCATATAGTGTACAAGAGTTCATGAAAATTCATTTCACAAGACATTAGAAAATTGAAATCAAGTTTTCAGTTGTGAATTATTTTCCCCCTAATAATAAAAACAAGACATTCAGTGATTGACTTTCAATGTCATACACTCTCTCGCACTCTGAATACCTGTTGTAATGTAATGTCAGTTGTTTTTTGTCTATAGTATAGACTCTATACCTATGCTCTCAATGTCTACCTGTTATAGCATATGACTGATCAATTAAATAAAACTTGATTTCAAATCATGGTAAATTAAACATTTATTAAGTTACATGGAAATTACTTACATAATTTTATAATGTTGGGTACAGTAATAGTATTAAATTAATATATGCAATACAAGACCTTTATTTTAATACTAAATTACACAATAGTCATTTAAGACTTAAATTTTAAGTCATATAATATGCACAGAATTAGTATTTGTTTTATAATCACAGCGCAAATGTATATTAAAAAATTAATGGTAAAGCTATATTAATAAATTATTTTGTTTTAATTAATTTTAAGTTATCTCAGAGTAAATCTACATAAAATACAAATTAATTTCATATATAGTGTACTCACAAAAAGCGGAATGAGTTTATAAACAGTTTTACAGTTCACTGTATTATACGCTCAACACGTTTACAGCAATTGAAAGGTTTGTTGTTGTATTACAGTCTGTATTTTGATGGCAATCGGAAAAACATTATTAAACAATGTTTTAGCTGCCATTCAATATGTGTTTATTTTATTTATCAATCCCATCGACTACACCACCAGTATATGACTTCCCGTTTTATTTTTACTTGTATTCACACCACATGTACAGTGAATTCTGATTGCAATCAACCAGAATATTCTTTGCAATACAGTAGTTAGTGATACTAATGTTAAAAATATAATATTACAGTACAATATTGTGATGTTATTAGATTAGTTAAATTATTCAAATTATAAATATAATTTAAAGTTTTAGTAAAAAAGGTAGACTTTATAATTTTGTAATATAAACAAGTGGAATTTTATTTATCAAATTCTACAGTACTTCAAATATTGTATTGCAAAATATGACACTGGTTGTATTTTGGTTCGTTATAATGAACTTATAATGTACTAAATATATTTGAAAGTTTGAAAGTCTGTTTATTTATTAAACACTATTTGAAAACATCTGTTCATAGTTTCTAGTATTTAATAATAATTATTAAAATTATTTTAATACAATAACTGAGTCCTTAAAAGTTTTAATTTGTATCTGTACTTGTTCATAAATATACACACTAGCTAAATTATTTCTAATTCAAATATAAAATTTTATTAATTAATACAAAAATAATATTAGATCCGTAATCAAATATAATAATTTATAGCTAAATATGTTTTTTCAAAACATGGAAACTTTTGATTTATTATTTAACTTAAGTTACAAAAATTGTTATAAATAATGAAAATATTCAGTAAAATATAATATAATTTAATTTATACGCTAATAAAGTGATTGATTGCATAAAGCACAGTGTATTACACTGATAAATATCCGATCATAAAGTTATTTCCTGTCATTAATTACACCATTGAAAGGCATGTCTAACAAGTGTTTGACAAAAAATATATTGATTTCTGTTTATTCAATCAGTATTTATACAAAACTATGTTTTCAATGAACTTATTTTCTATAATATACATAGAAAAGAAAATCAATTTAAATTTCTTGTAAGATATGGTAATTTAAAACAAGCAATAATTGATAAAAATTGATTCAAGATTTCTTTAAAAATACTAGTACAGTATATTCTGCACTTTAACTTTTCCCTATAAAATTACCAATATAATAATTAAATTCTAGACTTTATTAATTGAAAGATTTATATATTTGCGTCAGTTATTTGTTACCGTAATTAAAAAATTATTAGAAATGCTTTTAAAGGCCTTTTAAATAAATGTATTACCCTGAAACATTTAGAAGCGATTAGTACGAGTGATTATTTTCTGACAAACAGGTAATGTTTTTTGATAACTTATACAAATTTTTTGTTAAATAATTTAAATTCAGATTCTGTGTCTAATACTCATATGAATTATCAAAACTGTGATTTTTAAATCAAACATTTAAATAAACTACTGATTTATCGCCAGAACTAACTCATTATGACATAAATGGCTACTATTTTTGCACTTAATTTAGTGCATGTCTTAACATGACTTAACCAAAACAACCCATCAATCTGCCGGTGCTTTTGAGTCAAAACAGAGCTCTTTTAATTTGTTGGCAACAAGTAGTCTAATAAATTGTGCTAATCTTGTATAATGCACTAAATGTTAGAATTAAAATTGAAGTATTTACCCTATTGTTTGATATTTAGTGCAAAAATAAACTTTTAAAATTATAATCTAATAAAGAACGCTAGGTAACAAGTACACTTTTTGACAAAGTACTTAAATATAATGCACTTATTACAATGAAAGTAAAATATTTGCATTGTAAATTATGTATTATACAATAGTATTTCAACATTATTGTAATAAAGCTTTCACTATAGATAACCTTCGTTATCGGCTATCAATACTGCAAATATTGTTTGACTTATTCCGGTTTATTATATAATTTATCATAAAGTTTTATTTGCCTTTTTAAAACTTATGACAACCAGAAAAATGCACTAAAAATGTTATTAATGTAAAGTATTTTACATTCATTTACAAAATTATAATATAAATCTTGTTATGATTACATAAAAATTTGTCCATTAAATAAAAAACAATCCATTAAATATTTCATTTAATAATTCAACATAAAAATGAATTAAAAATAGTATAATATCTCACTATTGTAATGATATACCGGTAATAACTCACTTTTTATAAAAAGGGAAACTTTCAAAAAATATTCATTAATTGCATTCGTATTAAAAACAAAAACAATACAAATCTTTATACAAATACTAGGAATTTAATGAATGATAAACTCAGTATAAAAGTACTGAATAATATTAAAAATATATAAATTAATGTTAATTTCGAGCTTATCATTAAATAAAGTTTTTAATTCATTGATAACATAGTAAACTAAATACACGCTAATATTAAACACATGATTAACCTATCATTTAAACAGTTCATCAAAACAATAGCTTAATTCTTGCGGTGTTTGTGGCGGTAGTATTCGGTGGGGAGATAACAGTCCCCCTTATCAATGGTAGCGGTGTTTATGCGGACTTTGGCTAATCGACACTAACCCACCCGGTTATCTGATCCCAATCCCAAATGAGACACATCAGGACTTACATCACTCGCCTATGGATTAGTGCACCAAAAGAGTAAATATCATATATTTTGACACTATTTTTAACAAACCTTTTCATATATGTTTCAAAAATCAATTTATTTCTCACTTACGCCACCAAACGTTTATCCATACATTTCATGCCATTTATTAATAAGTTTTTATATGTGTTTTATTTTATGCTAGTGTATTATTTTTTTATTTAATACATTTATACAATACATTACAAATAGTTTTTTCCTAATGTTTCATTAGTTTACTATAAACTCGCGAAACCACCACATTTTATATCATTTATTATTTTCTCAATATTCTGTATATAAATACTTATTATTTATAAACTCGTGTTAATTATGTCTAAAACTTATACCTCATATAAACTCGTCAGTAGTGATGGAAACACACAAAAAGACAATGAGTTTGAGTCTACAGACCAACACCCGGATGATGAGGATGAGGACCCGAGACTTACATCGTGTGGTGTGGGCTCGTGGCGACCCCAGTGGCTACAGGTGTTCGCCAGTCCGGTGTTTTTTACCATAAACTTTGCATTGATTGGTATAATACAAGGGATGACCGGAACTTATTTTGTCGGATCCATGAGTACTCTGGAGAAGAGGTTTGCCTTCGACTCCAAGATATCGGGGTTTATATTAATCGCCGATAACTTCTCGCAAATGCTGGTGAGTCTACAAAAATGATTTGTTAGATTATTTTGCTTATATCATAGTTAGTATGTAAAGTAATTATAAGAGTACTAATAAATTCTGTATTTTAATAACTTTACGTTTATTTTAAGAAATCATATAATTAATTAGTAAAACGTGTCCAGAATAATATATTTTGACATAATAATATAGTAGAATAGTAAATACCTTTTGAGTTATATTTTAAATTCAAGAATTATTCTTATTAATAATAAGTTATGAATTGTCCCTAATACATTCTCACAATATTCATCATATCGATTGATTTAGAACAGTATTAAAGAATTAATTAGTATGTACTGGGTGACATACTTTATAAATAAATTATATTGAGATTTTGTCATGTATTTCCTTAATGTTGCTGTGTGCAACACTAATTTGACTATTTAATTAGCTTATCTTATTGACTGAATGGATATAATTATAGCAAATTAATAATTTATACAAACAGTTTATTTAACACAATTTGTTTATTTTGTATGTATTTAAACTAATAGTCTCGATATTATAGTTGTGGATATTATTAATTAATTTATGTCATACCGTAAACACATTTTGATTTGAATGTTATGCTAAAAGAATCTTGTTTATAAATATAAATTATAATAGGATAAGATACAAATATCAATACTATTTAATTCATTCATCAATACATATTTCAATATATCCAGTAAACCTTTAAAATATTTTAAAAATAGTAATTTAGAATTTTAACAAATTATGAGTTGAATGAAACTATTTCACACTTTTAATTAAATTTTAAAATTGCTGATGTTTCCCTATATCTCAGGTGTTAAAAATATTTTGTTAAATTATTTTCCGCATAACATCTCCATACCTGTCCTCCAATAGTGCAGAATTTAGTTTTCAAATGTTCAAAATAGCAGTTTATTTGTAAATTTCAAAATCATATACTGTATAATATATAAAGGAGAATGTATTTGATAAGTTATATTTTTAAGTGATAAATTATAAATAAATTACCTAGTCTATTGTCAATAGATTATTGATAATTACATAGAATTATACTTTTATATGCACTTTAACAGAATTTACCAAATTTTCCTAAAAACAGAATTAAATTATTTTAGTATAACTTGGTTGATATTTATAAATATTATAATATAAATTCATTCAAGTTTATAAAAATTAGAGTATAATTTACAGTATCATGAATCCTATGGCCAAATAATGTGTCTGTCCTTCATGGGTACAGTATACACATAACCAGTATTTGAACAGTTTTCCTAAACTGCATGTGTTTGTGAAATATGTTGCTTTCAATGTTCAGACATAAATAAAATGATATTACATTGAAAGATTATAGCGATGCTTATCTGTATCTCATATCAAATGGCAATATATTTTATAGACATGTGTTTCATGTGATCATTGAGTTTATACTAGAATTAATAGTTACAAAATCATTAATAATATTAAAAATAATAGCAAAACTAAAAAGGAATAATACATAAAAATTTTATAGAATTTAAACCTACTTATTAGCACCTTGGTTATTTAAAATACACAATCAAATATGTATACCTTAAAAATAACAAACAAGAATTGTATTCATTTTACTCACATATTCTCTAAACTATAAACAAAAAGTTACAAAAATTTAATTCAAATGATAGGTCAGTCCCATCATTGGCTACTTTGGCAGCCGTGTCAACAGACCGCGTATGATAGCATCGGGTGAGCTCATGCTATCCCTGTCCTGTTTCATGACAGCACTGCCCTACTTCATATACGGCGCCGGCACACACCTACTCCATGATGACAACCTACTGTCCAAATTGGCCAGAAATGAAACTCGATATGAGTTATGTCCGGCCAATCACTCGGACATCGACTGTTCCGGTGGCAAACACTCCACTATATGGTTGGCCGTTGTGTTGCTATGGATGGGTAGTTTCCTGAGGGGACTGGGATTCACGGCTTATTTCGTGATAGGAATGCCATATATTGACGATAGTGTTAGCAAAAAGAATTCACCAATCTACATTAGTGTCATAACCGCACTCAGACTTATAGGGCCGGCCTTGGGTTTCCTACTATCGTCTTTATCGCTCCGGTTTTATGAAAACCCGTTTTGTAAGCAATTTATTACAAAATTTCTATTATATTTAATATTAGCAGAAAATATATAATTATCTCTATATGTATAGATGACCCTGGTGTAACTCGCCGAGACCCTCGTTTCATAGGAGCATGGTGGATCGGATTTACAGTGATCGGGATGTTATTATTGTTTGCGGCACTTCCCATGTTCCTATTCCCCAAACAGTTCAAAAATGCTACCGTAAAGGCCAAGGATCTTAAGGAAAATGTCAAAGGCATGAGAGGTAATACCGTATGATAGATGACTATCATCTACAGTATAGCACCAATCACATTTTATTATACAACTATCAGGTACGGCACAGGCTATCAAAAGATTGGCACAGAATCCTATACTAATGTTTCATTTGGTGGGCAGTACTATACGCTACATAGGAATCGGAGGCTTTTATATATTCAAAACCAAATACATTGAGTCTCAATACCGACAAACTAGTTCAGGTGCCAGTTTCATAACCGGCTCTACATCTATATTACCTATGGCTACAGGTATCATATTAGGCGGCGCTTTAATCACACTCGTTAAGCCCCGACCCCGTACCCTGGTCATATATATGTTTTTAGTGGAGTTAGTAGGAAATGGGGGCATATTCACGGGAATGTTTATGGGCTGTCCACCCATGGAGTTACAGGAGACGCGATATGTTAATAATGAGTATATATTTACAGAATATTCAAATAATACAGTATTTGTATAAATCATCGTATTTTTATGATAGATATTCAATGGTATCAGGGTGCAATCAAGCCTGCGATTGTACTACTAGTGTATTCACACCTATTTGTGCGGCAGACAAGTCAACCACATATTTCTCGCCCTGTTTTGCGGGCTGTAAACAGTTGGACAGACAGACCAATGTATGTCATATTGTTTTATAATTTGAGAATTACTTTAAAATATAACAATATTTTGCTTTTAATAGACATTAAGTGACTGTTCGTGTATTGGAGAGTATGGGGGAACGGCAACCACTGGTTACTGTCAAAGTGACACTGATAAATGTGATAAACTATTCACGTATTTAATGATTATAACATTGGGTGGACTCATATCATCGACAGCCAGGACAGGCAACTATTTATTGACACTAAGGTATAGACAATATAATACTCAATAAAAACTAATGTTTTTCATAAATGTTTGCCTCAATAGGAGTGTCGACCCGAAGGATAAGAGCTTTGCGATGGGAATGATGTCCACATTTATGGCTGTATTCGGTATAATAAACTCATTTATATTTGAAAATACATATCCCTTACTAAATACAAACTACATTTACCCCCCGATCCCTATCATAGCGTTCATTCCGTATCCGTTAATATTCGGTGCGATCACAGACTCGGCGTGTTTGGTATGGGAGAAGACGTGTGGTAAGCAGGGTAACTGTTGGATATATGACCAGGACAAGTTCAGGTACTACCTACACGGGGCTGCCTTTGTATTCATGATG